ATACCCTATTATAATCCCTATATACTGCTATGTTGGCCGTGCGCTCTATGACTACAATTACAAGGTGGGGGTTTCGGGGAAGCATGCGGCTTCTTGCGATTCGGAGCTGAGGGTTCAGTGCCGGTATCAAGACACCACCGAGACACACAAAACGTACTTGCCAGCTTGCCGGGGAGCATGTTCTTGGCGTCGAACATTTGTTGCGTCAATTCGGGAACCTTGGTCGGACAGTTCAGTCTTCAAGACAGCTCCGCTGCAGGCATGGGATCACTGAATCAACATGTTTGCCAACTTTGCAAGGCGAACCTTGGACCAAACAACTCCACGACAGAAGGGCTCTCGCAAGCCGAGGGACCGTCAGGGCGCGGTACTGCTGCGATCCACGGGAAGTCAATGGTGCAAAGCCCGTCATGAAGAAGTGCAAGCCTCAAAAAAGATCGACGTGAAACGTTTGGCCCAAAACACTGTCTACCAGATCCTCAGGACGTGATCTCAGATGCAAAGGCTGCCAGAGCGACTAGCGAGAGAACACAGCTTAAAAGGCCGTAGTGCGCTGCAGCCACGTGGCGCGGGAAAGGCACCAGATTCACGGCGATCTTGCGCAGGTCGCAGTTCAACCTTGGCCCGAATGCCCTTAAAGCTGCAACCTAGTACACAAAGTGCTGTTTAGGTCCAGCAGCTGTCCAGGGAAACGCAGGCAGCATGTGACGCCGCCTTAGGCGCGGGCAGTTGAATCATGCAGGCTTTGAGGGTCACAGTTGAAAAATGCTGTTGACTTATGTGGGGTTCCACAAATTAAGAGTACCATGTTGGGGCTCCCAATAATAAAGATTACAACGATTTGGGGTCCTTGTTGGGGATGCCAATTTTGGGAAACTACCATATGGACCCCATACAGGTTGGACCCAACAACAAACGACCATTTTGGTCACTCCTCACGGCCTGCTTGCCAAATTAAGATTCATCTTCCCGCAGACACGCTGGAAATCTTACATGTGTACAAACGAAGAAGGGCTTTCCGTGTTATGAATACCGTTAAACTGGAAGAATGCTTAACGGTGGATGTGGCAAGCCACTCATGGCCGCAGAGACCAAGTGGTTGAGGTCGCCGTAGGTTGGCGTTGTCAGCTTCCTCGGGAAATGAGAGTCCCATTTCTGCTCGGAAACTCATGGTGCATCATGACAACTACTTTCTGCATATCTGCTGTTCTGATGCAACCAATTTGTGCAAAAGTTCTTGTGATGCAGACCAGGCACAACGTGCGGAAACAGATATCGTAGAGGGCTTCATTATCCTGCACTCTTGCTGGTCTTGACGGTGCAGACGTCAAACGCTATCAGAAGCTCTGCCCGATTTTATCCCATTGAAGCGGGTGCGCATGAAGAAATTCAATCACAGCGTGCCGGACGGCTTTACACTTTGTACAAGTAGAGAACTGCTGAAGCCCTTTGAGATCTTCCTAGTACTCCTTACGCCCCGGCGCTTGTGGACGCCGTGCTGGCCAACATGACAACTCAAGCCAAATCACATTTTGAGCGGCTACGCTCAGATTTGCATAAGTGATCCCGACCAGCATCTACAGAAGAACGTGACTGACTCTCGCGCACATCATTGCGAACAAGTCGCCAGCAGGAAAGACTCGTCGGAGTTTTCCACGAGCTGGTGGAAGCTTAGAACAGCATTGTACGGCTCCACCACAGTGTCAGACACCTCCCAAGTTTGCGAAACACGGCCAAACAGGGGGAAGCAAACTTTTCCTAAGTGCCAAAATGCCGATGCATTAGTGGGTATGGAAGGGTGAAACACAGTAACTGGTCCAAGCCGTGCCTTGGGAGAAGGGATCACAGAGAACGTCTCCATGATGCGGTCAGGATACCTTGGGCGGTGTAAAATTTGCATTGACGCGGTCATTATTTGCCCGGCCACATGGCCATCCAAGCCTTCTCTGCAGAGCGTCCCCATCACAAATGGGGCGACCAGAAGCGAAGTGCACACAATGCCAACACACATGCATCCATGACGGAACACTTCCAGAGCAACAGAAGCAGCATGACATGCCCTCCATGCTTTCACCGGCCAGGCTGGCCTGAGAGCTTCACTCAGCGCAGCACCGCGCAAGACAGATCTGACATGTCCACTGCCCGAATTGTAGGCTGCGATGACCTTTGTGATACGACGTGGGCAGTACAGAGCTTGGCCCACAAACCGCGAGTCACGCCTATCTTGGTCACAGAATTTCTTGAAACACTGCCTCCGCCAGGCTTCCCATGTCTTGTGCAAATGCGGGGCCTTCATCCCTTTGTCATCATCACGAGACCATGCAATTTGACCTTCGGCTGGGTGTGCCCATCGCCACGGTCCAAGCTCAGACCACCCGAGTTCAGCCATGAACTTTCGGACACGACCCTGCCAAGTGCCACACAAAATGCATGGTTGCCACTGTACATGTACCGAATCAAATGCCCTCCTCAAACTGGCATAGGCAGCGGAGGCTGCACAGAAATCCAAGTCGCAAAAATGTCCAGAAGCTTGACCAACAATTTGGATCTACTGAGATGGAGGCGCGCAAATCGTCTCTAGAGAGCGCGCTATTCTTGGAATGTCTCCTTATTGGGTTTTTTCATAATCCATCCCCAAGTTACCTTGGGCAAAACCATTGATCTATACATCCGGCATGGCGTGGCCAAGGACGCCGGCAGGCCCTCAATCCGAGCAGCAATGCGTAAAGCATCCAAGACACGAGCCTCTGCGGTTTGTCCGTGCTTTCCTGCTCTGTATCCACTCCCCAAGCCTTTCCTGAATCCTTGACGGCTCGTGGATCATCAACATTTTCCTCGACGAACTGTCTTTGTTTCTTTGACCGAGATGCCACAACCAACTTATCCATGTTTTCAAGAAGGTTGAGCCGCGCGCTCCATTCTTGCAAGATCTTGCAAGATACTTTGGACAGTGAAAATCTTGCATTGGCGCCACACCCTAAGATGATGACACCGCACAGGAAAGAATCACATCCCCACATCTGCGCCGCCAGCGTCTCCACCACTGCGGTAGGAACAAGGCCAGCCTTTGCATCCAGCTTCGCCCAATACTACCCCACGCACATGCCGCATATGAGACAGCACATCACCATCAGTAACAGAACCACAGGGCCAGCCACGCCTTCTACGTAAGGCATCTCCCTCACAAGGAGGACGCCTAGCAGAGAATCCTTTGCAGTACCAACATGCACGCATCCAAGACAGAAAAAAACCTAGTCACACATGGAACACTCCATACCTTCTGATTGCTCACGAGAGCGAATGTGTCTGAGCTGCCCCCATCATACCGGGGAGAGTTTGAGGACCAAAGGCTCATTTTCACCAATCCAATTACCATGACCAAGGAAAACCGTGGTAGCCATAACTGAATGTTCCCCTTCGGCCAATGCCACCGCCTCAAGGAAATCATCTTGAATACGCACGATGCATAGGATTGCCTGATCATTAGGGGCCGCACTCAACAACGGAGCGTATCTATCCGGGCCCTCCGCGATCAGGAGATCGCTAGTCCAGTCCTTTGGTCTAAGTTTCCAAACCATGTCCTGCCAGCCTTCGTCCTTGGCCTGCTTGGTGAGTGCTTTTTCATGATTCCACTCCCGCCATGCTTGAGCATCAGATTGCCAATCTGTGGTTTGATCTCAGGAAGAAGAATGCAAATCCCAGCCCGTTTTCCATTTCTGACTCTCTCCCACATCCTTGTGAGAACGCTTCTTGGCCTCAGCTTGAACGAGAGTTTGGATGTCCGGGAAAATGTCAAAGCCATCGTGTCTCCGAGCCTTGGTTTTTCGCGAGGTCACCTTTTGAAGGACAAAACACCACCCTAGCCCTGAGTCGCATCAGAGTAGTCCTGATCGCGTCGATTGTTGCTTGCCCCCTCCGAGAAAGAGTGGGCAGCCCGTCTCCACCTGATTGTTTCTCATCTGAATGCTGTTTTCAGGCCCATCCATGTCAACTTGCGCTGATTTAGCCACAGGGCTTGCAAGTCCTTCCCATTTAACGAAGGCTCCGGCAGAAACTTCATGAAAGGGCTCTCTGGCGCGTTCGGCACATGTGTCCCATGGGCAAACCACAGACTGCGCTGTCAGATGCTGCTTCTTTCTGAGTTTGGCTTTGGCCCTTGCACCCCGCTGCGGGCCAAAGGAAGGTATCCCGTAGACTCATGCCCTCAAATGGGACTCATGGGACATATGCAAAATCACTTGGTCATCGTTTGCCCTGCAACAAGGCCGGCCAAGCCTTCTCTGCAGGGCATCCGCATCGCAAATGGGGCGACTAGAAGCAAAGTGCATACAATGCCAACACCCATGCATCCAAGACGGAATACTGCAAGAGCCACAAAAAGAGCATGACATGCCCTCGGTGCTTTCACCAGACAGTTTGCGCATGAGAGCTTCACTCAGCGCAGCACCGCGCTAGACAGATCTGACATGACCATTGCCAGAATTGTATGCTGCAATGAATACCTTGGACGTAAGACTTTCCTTGGACGCTGCGTCACGCAATATGACACTGGACCCATTCCCACAATCCATATGGCGTTTTTGAAATCTGCCCCGAAGAATCACCAACAAACCTGAGCCTAAAATCGTGGAAGCTTACATGGTCTGTCCAACCTCTTCATTGTAGTGGCTCCCCCTTTTTTCCCTCCATAGCCGTACATTTGTCCCTTGAAGCCCGTACATCCCACCCACAATGCCGTCGTGCTACTCCTCGCGTACCTGGAGGCAGCTTGAGGGCCGGCTTAGTATTGCAGGGTTCAGTTTTCCTGGGGGGGGGGGGCGGACCTTGTTTAGGGTTTACTTGCGGCTTTAGCTAGGGTTTAGCGCTTACGGGTATTGGCATGGTTTGGTGCTGCGGCATCAACAAGCTTCGCTGCTTGATGGTGTTTGTGGGAGGCGTCAGTTTGGGGGCAAAAAAAGCTGACAGAGCCTGCTGCTAAAGGCATTCCAGATTGGTTGAAATGTAGCTTCAAAATTATCCCAAATTACTCATGAAGATATTCTTTCATACAAGAACAACAACGGCGGAAATCAACAGTTATGTCGAAGTGCTGTCGTCAGGTGTTCAGCAGAAATTGTCTCAACTTGAAATGATCCCTCGCAACTCTTGACCGAAAAATATCCGCAAATACCAACAGCAGTTGAGCTATAGTCTAACCTCGTAATATCCCTATAGTACTGCCCTATATAATCCCTCATCTAGCCCCCTCCAAGGAGTTTAGAATATGGCTGTAAGGTTTTCTACCCGATAAATCCTCTTGTTTGACTCGGCTCTGTGCTGCTAGAACACACAACTACATCGTCCGCTGGTTCTGCATCCCATGGCCCCATGCAAACCCTGCATAATCCCAAAACAAAGACCGTGCCAAAACCCTATATCCGCCATATATAATTATAATCCTATCCTAAGCCCTAAAGCCTAAACCCCTTTATAATATAACCCCCCCCCCCCACATAGGGATCCTGTATCTCTCGCCTTGGAGATCAGTAGAGTTCCCATTCCGGCGCCAGTGCCACCACCAAGGGAATGGCAAAGCTGGAAGCCCTGGAGGCAGTCGCAGCCTGCATGATGCCAGGAAAGAAGGGAACTTACATGACCTGAAGCAGAAGCACTCCACGCATTCACCCAACTTCAAGCCCGCTGCAATGACCAAACTGTGCCCGCACAGTGTGCTTCCCGCCTTCTGCTTCCTTGCGCACAACGTCGAGCACGGAGTCAATGAGTTCTGCACCCTCAGAATTCGAAGCATCCACAAATTAAAGCCTGAATCCTGCTGCCATGAGGCAAGAAACCATAGGTTTAGGGTTTAGGGTTTAGGGTTACTACAACTTCTTACCTCGTTCAACAGAACTTCTCTGCGCAACCGCCACAACAAGCAGGGCTGGACGTCTGGGAGCTTTCGGGAACAGAGATGCGTTGAGGTGGACCCCTTAGTAACTCCTGTAGTAGTCCCCTATATACTCCCCTGGATAACCATCCTTTAAAGGGTACCCCTAATTTTGGGAAACCCCCACATGGACTTGGCAGGCAGTTTAGAGCGC